TGACCATAATTTATATATTTATTATCACTATTTGTTTCATTACCATTAACATTTACTAAGAGTTCTTACGGATGGGAATTTTTGATAAAACAAAGCAGTTAATTTGCAGGAGCGCACGGAACCGTATTTCATGGGAATATTTTGTTTTGAATTTTTGTTGAAAGTGATAGCGTTTGGATTTATACTTCATAAGGGATCGTATCTTCGCTCAGGATGGAATATTATGGATTTTATTGTTGTTGCCTCAGGGTAAGCATTTTCGTCAGCCCGTTTAATCAGTCACTCATTCAGCTCGATGTAGAAAACTAAAACAGTTTCGAGCTTCTTAACTACTTTTTTTCACTTTGATTATAATTGTAATTTTTAGTGTGGTAACGATGCTGCCTCTTTCATCATCGGATGGCGAAGGTCGAGGCTCTATCGACCTCAGGACACTTCGCGCCGTTCGTGTCCTCAGGCCGCTCAAACTTGTCTCCGGCATACCAAGTAACTGTTTCTTGATTGCAATCAACCCACTGACCTCATTTTCCAGACGCTTCCGCATCTATTGAAATTCGGCTGGTCTCACTGACCAGGACAGAATTTTTTTGCAGGCTTACAAGTGGTACTGAAGTCAATACTGTGCGCGATGGCACCATTGCTGCAAATTGGCTTGCTTGTGCTCTTTGCGATTGTCATATTTGCCATCATTGGGCTTGAGTTCTACTCCGGCATTTTCCACTCCGCCTGCTACAATGCGCGCGGTGAAATTGAAAATCTCAGCGAGCGTCCATTTCCGTGGTATGTTTTATCTTAAAAATCATTTAGTCTTCTAAATCTCACACGACTAACATCTGAAACCTTAGGGTAGAGTCTTATGTAGGGAGTGGAGGCATCGAATGTAACCAGAAGCGATAATTCTACCAGTAAGTGGGAAAACTGTGAGCTCTGCCAGTGTGCTGTCAGTGGTATTTCTTTTGCTGATTACCGGAGAACTGCAACTAAAGCAGTTAGAGTTCCCAGTGTTCTCGAACATTTCAGTATTTTTTTAGCAGGTAGTTTTCCGCTAAATTGGTTTTTATGCGTTTTTGCATATATGCAAATTGCAAAAACGCATATTGGGAAGAGGCTGT